TTTGTTTGACCTTCAGTGTTGCGTCCTTCAATGTGGGATATTGGCAGCCAGGAGAGAACATAATTCTGTTCGTATCAACATGACCTGCCATGCTTTACTACATGTAATTACAAATATAAGGACGTAATGAAAAGTGTCACAGAGACTGGTGTGCAGAACGACTTCATCCAGGGGTTTTCAACAAGGATGAAGATAAAAACAATATTAACTCCGTGATCGGAAGTAGTAAGAATGTCATACTTACTGCATACTCCTTCGCTTTATCGTAAGCAAACTGGCTCAGCGCTAAAAAATAGGTTTCCAGGAACGCTTGTTCCTGTGATACGGATTCCAGGCTCGAAGTTGAACTAGACGAAATCGGAATGGCTGGTCCCTCGGCCATTCTTACGTTGTACGCAAAGTCTGGACTACAACTCGCTACGTCATCGATAGTGTCTGCATCATATGAGCGTATACACACATCAGCATCGAAGCATATTACTTGATTTTAAGTGTATATATTATTCGCTAATACATGTACAAGCCGTGCAAGCTGTATGGGCGCCGCCATGTTAGATTTATGACTAGCGCCGCCGGTGGATGTTTTGAAGACAACTTTTGTTTTTAAAAATGTGGGATGAGGGCGCTGTTTCCACACGCTCCGCTTATTTGGCTGTTATTGTATGAGCTGTACGTTGGGCCTGCGCAATGGAGCAGTTGATATGGTTACCCACGAAGACGTATTTTTGACATTTTTTATGGGACGTTAAACCTTATATACTATTTATTTTATCACAGTATGCACCCTCCTCCAATCATTGACGTGACTGCCCTTGGTTTATACTAAAAAAATCGCAGCAGCATTCCTATATTTTTTTATTGTCTTTATTTGAGATTATAAAAATCACTTTTGCAGCAATGTAGAATACACTTACTGGCGGGGCAGAACTCAAGAACTCAATACACACGATAGCACTCATAACTAAGAACGTATAACACAGTACTGTCTATAAACGTTTTAGGTGCGCCGGGCGAACTTACAGAATTTCTTCAAGTTCCCATCAAATGTAACACAAGTTTTCCCCATTGTCAAATCATTTAAAAAAAAAACTATGAGAAAGACTTGTGCAGCCAATCACATTTGTAATCGACTATATTTAGTGGAATTTCATTCGTTTTATTTTAGTATATCATTTTAGTACTTTAGTTTTCTGTAAGTGTGGTCACCATAAAGCCATTTATTTTTCTGGCATTTAATTTCACTATTGTGATGCTTTGAGCGTATTCACAAGAAAACAACAAATGTTATTATTATTCAACAAATCCACGTGGATTTAATTCAGCGGATTATACTCATCAGCAAAAATAGCAAAATTAATTAATGTATTTATTCAGTTTAAAAAATGGCAAATCTGCTGACGTACTTGCAACAAATTACGACTAAAGACTATACTATATGTAAATTAATGTGTGTATTAACGGGGATCATCCCAATGTATCAAAACAAGCACGATTTTTTTAGCAGATTTACTGAAACTTTATTCAGTCTAGACCTCGCATTACAAATCACATTGATCAAGGTGCTTAATTTGAAATGTACCATTACTAAATAAATGTGTCTTGCGCCCTTGATTTTTTTGTTTGTTTTTATACATATATTTGTAGAAATATATTTGCACTGCCGCCAATAGAGAAGTACTAGTATATATACACGTGGCAATAATACGTGGATATTGTGCACACATTCTCATTGTCACGCAGTACCAACAAAACGTGGACTTACACAATTAAAATAGAACTCATTGTTTTACTGGTAAAACCCGATGAATATGCCCAAGAATAGAATTATATACCAGTGACATTTAATACGTAATAAATTATACAGTATACAAAGATCATTAGAGGGCGGTGGTCGTCGTGCTGCGCGTGTTCCAATTCCATGTAAACAAACAATGTATTTTGTTACACGTGTTGTATACGTCGCTACGAGTGCCATATCGAACAGGACGCGGCACGACCACCGACAGACTGTAGGTAATCTACTACAATCACGTTTGTTAAACGTGTCGTATCTATAGCCCGTAGTTAACTGTGGCAACTAGTTTTCTTTGCTGTAACTAAAATTCATAACATCGACATGAAAGAGTTTCCAGCATACGGCACGGATTTGAAAGAGTCAATCGACTCGGAGGCGCCTATCAATTTAGTATTCAACGATTACGCCCCGTCATTGTTCATAACTCAGAGGCGCACACAACTACGGGTATTCCCTCAGGGTGATATTCCATCATACACGTGACACCAAACTTCCAGTAAAATTGTCAGACACGGTGTCTCGTTCTTTTATGCGGGTATTATTTGTCTTTATGATGTGCTAGGAGTTCAGAGAGTTACGGGTTAGGTGACCGACTAGCTGCATCGCTTGGTCACCATGATGCTGACGGTCGTTTTTATTGTCGTTATTTTTTATCGTCCTTGCTGAGTGATCGCGAAACTGAAACCTTTTTGTCAGCAAAACTTGCCACGCAAAAAATAGCGTTTCAGGGGGGTCTAGATTTCCAAATTTTTAAGGGTGGGCGTACCTAAGGAACCCCTCTAGTAAGGTTGCGCATCCGGCGCCAGCCGAGGTTGGTGATCTGATCTCGCCGCCGACTCTGGCCATCATAACAATTAAAACATTAAGAGATATTAATATGCAAGAATGTGTACGATTCATATCATATATACACAGTATTTTACTCACTTGAACCTCAATAATATATTTAAAACAATATGTAATTTGACGTATATTATCAATGTTATCGTGGATGGGCCCCACGTGTGTGGATCGAGATACGGGATAGACCTACATGCTTGTTAGTTTTACTTACTTGTTGTATACATGTCCTGCCCATCAATCTATTAAAGAGAGCATTATTTTGTTTTGTAAGTTGTAAGTTTGTCATTAGCCTCAATACAATGAAAGATGTTATTTAGTTTATTGGTCGAAAAATTACAAGTTCACACAAATATTACCTTTACTTGAAAATGTTTAATTTGTGTGATTAAAGAATACACGAAATATTGAACGTTTTAGGGATATATAGGTCATCCCGGAGGAGGCATCATTTCGATGAACGCGGCAAATCGTTTATTTTGTGGACACGTCAGCGGAAAATGTTCAAGTTGGTATAATACGATTAATATTACTCGCCCTATGTCACCATGAAACTTTATTGGAAATTTGCATGATATGGAACACATTTAGCGGGACAATTTGCATTATTTTCCTCATCCCTGTCAGCGTATACAATAAACGGAAGAAAATTAGCTTTTGTGCCACGGCAGAAGAAAAATTCTTGTCAATACAATGCATGAAAAAATGTTTTAGCATTTTTCTGATACTTTGTGGAAAGATTGAGAATTTTTATACATAGTTATGTGTCAAACACGAACACTACATTAACGAACTGATGTTAGAGAAAAAAGGTATTTTTAATGTATTCCGATTACAGTGTATTGGACTCGGGGGGGGGGTGTCAAACTAAATACAAACTTGTTTTGCACACTCGTAGTGATGAAACAATATGTCGGGCACTACTTTTAAAAATTGTAGATTTAGATTGCATGGCCAGGCATTAAATTTATTTTCATTTCAAAATCAAACTTATAAAACATAGTCCGCGACTAAACAGAAAATGACGAATTACTTGGCAAATAACTGTGCAATAAAAACAATCGAATATGTAGTGTTCATTTTTATGCAAACCGACTAGCATTAGTTCAAGCCTTGAACTTTCAAGTGACAAACATACATATTAATGAACACCTTTTAACAAACAACGTTAATTCCAGCAACGGTTAAATAATTCATCTAAATAAATTAAGTCTTAAACATCGATGTGTCAATCTATTCATAATTCATTCATTATGTCCTGCCCGGTTATTACGTCCCGTACCTAATTATATAACATTCCGTTAATTGGAAGTTCCTTTGTTTTGAAAAAGAAAAAGGCAATTATGATTGGTTCTTTTGAATTGAGCCGTAATAAAAACAACGGAATGACGATGAAATGAAATGAACAACATGTCCGTATATTTAATTATTTAAAATTAGTATCGACATTGAAATTAAGCGTTGCCATGGCAGTTACTCGTATGCAGCATTTTCATTCACAATTATAATAAATCGCATTTCGGAGACAAACAAAATATGGTTACATAGTTACATAGTTATATTTTAATTTCCTGTGGGCGATAGTTTAAGAAAACTGAGCTGTGAAGTAATCATAATGAAAAGTTGATGACGAAATTCAAAATAAACATAAGTCCTTGAGAGAGAATATGAGCTGCCATCATCACGCCGGAAGTGAAACGTCGAATTAATTATATTTAGATGTCGCAATTTGAATAGTGTTGTTAATTTTATTTGACAGTAAATATATCATTATGATCGAAATAAATATTAATTAGCATTATAAAACTATCACGGCATAGGACAACACAATAACTGTAAACCATGAATCGACTTACTAGTATTAATTTTTAAAACTTTTTTGTAAAACATTTTTAGAAGAGACTGAGTCTTCTGCCGTTTCCATATTCTGTCCCGTCCTCACTCTTTGAATTCAAAATCATCTTAACATTATTTCCCGTGGCCGCGGCGGATTCTTTGAATACCTATCGACTCGGTGCTAAAAACGTAATCCCAAAAATGATAATATTAAACCAGAAAGCTTTATGCGGCGATATGACAGGCGTCGTCTTGGATGTTTTGATGACAACTTTTGTTTTTAAAAAAGTAGGCTGGGCGCTGTATACGCTCAGCTAATTTAGCTGTAAATAGCCTTTAAATAGATCTACGATATTTACACCTTTAGTCGAAACTAAGGACATAGTACCCCATGCACGTGTTCACAACCACTCGCAAAGTAATCTTCCCAACATTCCTTCTGAAAAAACTACTCCTGTGGCTTTTATTTTTCTTAAATAGCCCGACATATAACAGTTTAAGAACTGGTTTACTGATTATAGCAAAGCTTAATACGAACGTATAGTAGTTGGATAAAAATGGTGAACCTGAAAACGTACTCAGACAAAATGGCCGACTGATGATGTACTCTAACTAAAATATATGATGGCGTACTAAAAATGGCGGATCCTGTGACATACTCGGACAAAATAAAAGCTAATCTGATGACGTACTCAAAGAGAAATAGCACGTGGCATCGAAACCCACGAATGAAGTATTGAAAATTGGAGATAAATGATAAAAAATAAATTTAAACTATTGCTCCGATTAACGGAGATCCGTCGAGGCATCAAAACAATGGAATAAAGCGCGAATTTGATTTTTTTTTGAAAATCATTTAATCTCGCGTTATGTACTAATACTACTACTTAAGGTAAATTTGCCTTGCGCCCTCACAGTCAGGGCGAGCACAGCAAGTATCGCAGTCGGTTCGTTATGCTACGATGTCACAACCCATCTGTACGGGGACTGTGTACGATGAGTTTTAACTGGGCGCAGGCTGGTGGAGACTGGGTTTAAGTCCTGGATTAAGAAACGCCCGGCGAAGGGATCTAATG